CTCTTTGCATGGGAAGTTGTTTTTACTAGAGAAATTCTTTAGGTCTAAGCTTGACCTGACTAAGGATATAGATGAGAACCTGGATGTGTTTAATAAATTGATACAGAATATCAAACAGGCAGGTGATAAACACATAGATGATTATACTCCCATAGTGTTACTTAATGCCATTCCGGACTCTTATAATGATGTTAAGTCCGCTATTAAGTATGGTAGGGATGAGATTTCGTTAGACATTGTGGTGAATGGGTTAAGGAGTAAGGAATTAGACCTTAAGCATGCTAGGGGTAGTTCTAGTCAGTCCAGGGACTCCGATGAGGCTATGTTTGTTAGGGGTAGATCTAAGGGTAGGTCTAAGAACTCTAAGCAAAATAGTCAAAGTAAGAACACTAGTCAGCCTGGGAGGAAGAGGAGAAAATCTAGGAAGAGAGTGTGTTACAATTGTGGTAACACTGGCCATTTCATTAAGGATTGCCCTAACCCTAAGAAGACCGAGCATGCTAGTGTAGCTGTTGATAAATGTGACCTTGATGACATTTTGATGGTTTGTGACCATGCTAATTCTGTGAGAAATTCCCTGTCTGAGTATGAATGGTTGATTGACTCTGGTTGTACCTATCACATGTCCCCCTTTAGAAATTTGTTTTCTACATATGAATTATGTGATAGTGGCTACGTTTCCTTAGCTGATAATAAGAGATGCAGTGTGCTTGGTGTTGGTGATATATGTCTGAAATTTTCTTGTGGCTCTGTGTTTACCATTAAGAATGTGAGGCATGTCCCTGATTTGTGTCATAACTTTTCATTTGTTGCTGCTTTGGAGAGTAGTGGTTTACAAGGAAAGTGGGGGAATGGTTGCATGAAAATCTTAAAAAACTATCTTGTTTTGTTTAAAGCTGAGAAGGTGAATAACCTTTATGTGTGTCATGCTAAACCTTTTGCGGATTCTGCGAATGTTGTATGTTCTGATAAGACCTCTTTGTTGCATAATAGGCTAGGACATATGAGCAATAAGGGTTTAGATGTCATGCGTAGGGCTGGTTATTTTGGTATGGACTCTGTGACTTCTGTGCCTTTCTGTGAATCATGTGTGTTAGGCAAGCAGCATAGAGTCAGCTTCCCCCCTTCCTCATACCATAATCTGTCTAAGTGTTCGTCTGTGCTTGAATATGTTCATGCCAATGTTTGAGGTCCTGCTAGTGTTCCTACCCACGGGGGTAGGAAATATTTCCTTTCTATCATTGATGATTTCTCTAGGAAGGTGTGGGTTTGCCTTTTAGAACACAAGTCTGATGTGTGTGTGAGGTTTAGGGAGTGGAAAACCCTAGTTGAAAACCAAACTGGCGGGAAGGTTAAAACCCTTAGGACCGATAACGGGTTAGAGTTCTGTAATAAGGAGATGGATAAGCTGTGTGTGGATTGTGGGATAAGAAGGCACAAAACTGTGCCTTATACTCCCCAACAGAATGGGATAGCAGAGAGAATGAATAGGTCTCTGTTGGATAAGGTTAGAAGCATGTTAGCTACCTCTGGTTTGTCTAAGAAATTCTGGGGTGAAGCAGTCACTACTACTGCCTATTTGGTTAATAGGTCCCCGTCTGTCCCTCTTGGTGGTAAGTTTCCTGAAGCAGTCTTTACCGGTAAGCCTCTTGATCTGTCTAACCTTCGGGTGTTTGGTTGTGCAGCGTATGCACATCAACAGGTTGATAAGTTGGATCCTAGGTCTAAGAAATGTGTCTTCCTAGGTTATCCAGAGGGGGTAAAGGGTTACAGGTTATGGGATAGGAACCAGGTAGGCTTTAAGGTGGTCCTTAGCAGAAATGTGGTGTTTAATGAAACTCATTTTCCTTGCTTGACCAAGTCTATTTCTAATCCTGAGTCTAGGTCTGATAGTACTCCTAGTGAGGTGGAGTCTATCCCTGTTGCTGCTAGTCCTTTATCTGTTGATCCTGTTATTACTGATGATATTGTTATGCATGATTCTGATTCCTCTGAGCATGATAGTCCCACCACCTCGAGTGAGGTGGAGCATTTGCATGATACTGAGCATGATTTGCATGATATGGGTGTTGAATCTGATTTTCATGATAACAGTAATTTGCATGAGTTGCATGTGGAGCCTAGTAGTGATGATTTGCATAATTATCAACTTGCTAGAGATAGGAGTAGAAGGGTATCAGGAGAACTGCTGATAGTATGCCTGATTATGCTTTCATTGTGCATGATACTTCTATGTTTGCATTTTCTGTGTTTGAATCCCTAGAGCTGAATGAACCCAAGACCTACCGTGAAGCCTTAGGTTCCAAAGAGTCTCAGAAATGGATTAGTGCCATGAAAAGTGAGATGGACTCTTTGCGAATGAACAAGACTTGGACCCTTGTACCTAGACCCCCCAACTGTTCGGTAGTTGAGTGTAAGTAGTTGTTTAAGGTTAAGGAAGAACCTAGTGATGTTAGGTTTAAGGCTAGGTTGGTTGCGAAGGGGTTTACTCAAAAAGAGGGGGTAGATTATGCAGAAATCTTTGCTCCTGTTGTTAAATTCATCACTATTCGTATGATGCTTGCTTTAGTTGCTCACCATGACTGGGAAATGAAACAAATGGATGTAACTACTGCTTTTTTGCATGGTGAATTGGACAAAACAATTTATATGACCCAACTTGAGGGCTTTGTGGATCCCAAGAGAAGTGAGCATGTCTGTTTGCTTAGGAAGGCATTGTATGGCCTGAAGCAATCCCCTAGGCAGTAGAACATCAAATTTGATAAATGCATGATATCTTTGAAGTTCCGAAAATCTGTTTGTGATCATTGCCTGTATTTCAAGAATACTTCTTCTGTTCCTGTATTTTTGCTACTCTATGTGGATGACATGCTGATAATTAGTCCTTCTCTAAATGCTATTAAAGATGTGCAAAAATGCCTTTGTGCGAATTTTGCCATGAAAGACCTAGGTGATGCCAAGAGGATCCTAGGCATAAACATTGTTAGGGATAGGAGTAAGCGTACTCTTACTTTGAATCAGATTTCTTACATAGAAAAAGTTTTGAGTAAATTCAATATGTTATCTGCTTCTCCTGTTAATGTCCCTATGGCATCTCACTTTGTGTTAAGTAAGGACCAGTCTCCCAAGACTGCTCCTGAAATTGAGAAAATGAAATTTGTGCCCTATTCCGACGCAATAGGGTCGGTTATGTATCTTATGGTTAGCACTAGACCTGATATTGCATATGCGGTTAGTTGCTTGAGTAGATATATGTCCAACCCTGGTTTGCCCCATTGGAATGCTCTTAAGTGGTTGCTTAGATATCTGATTTCTACTGTGAAGCATGGATTAATTTTCTCTAAATGTGCTAGTGTTATTGAATTGATTGGTTATGTTGATTCTAACTATGCAAATGATAGAGATAACAGGAAGTCGACCACTTCTTATGTTTTTACTTTGTGTGGCTCTTTCATTAGTTGGAAGTCTCAACTACAGCCTATTGTGGCCCTTTCTACCACTGAGTCCGAGTATGTTGCAGCCACAGAAGCGTTTAAGGAAGCCATCTGGCTCAAACGCCTTGTCTCCGAAATTGGGTTTCTAAAAAAGGGAGTTACCATTTTCTCGGATAGTCAATCGGCTATCCAACTTTGCAAAAATCCTGTATTTCATGATAGAACTAAGCATATTGATGTTAGGTTCCATTTCATACGTGATATTGTTGATGCAGGTGGAGTCAAGCCGTGCAAGATCCCGTCCGAGTTTAACCCCGCGGATATGGGTACCAAGTGTCTTTCTGCTGAGAAGCACTTGTCCTGTAAATGCGTGTTAAACTTTGACTGTGGATAACTGTGGGTTGCGTAATAAAGTGTTTGCCCGTTTTGTCTTTTGATATTACGGGTGACCCGACGATGATGAGTCTTGTCACAACCTTGTATTGTTACTCTACACCACCTAGGACCAATAAGGTGGAGAATGTTGGAGGTATTGGTCCTACCAAGGCATCCCTTCCACTTTATTTGCTGAGGCTTGCACCCTATTGTTTTACTCCCACTTTGGTATCTTTTACCTTGGTATATTATCTGATCAATAATATACCTATTTGAGTTGACTTACCTACTGGCTGGCCCCTTTGTTTGTTGTCCGATGCAACCTCTTTGTCTTGGCTCATACATGTGACCTTCCTTTGTTTGAGTAGCATGTGAGTGTCTTTTGTTTTGCCTCACCCGTGACTTCCTTGGCAGCCTATTTTAAGTCCTTTGCTTCTCCCATTTTGAAGCAGCCTGCGAGAGTAACACTTCTAGAGAGCAGTGCTCTCCTTCTTCTCTTTCCCTTTGTGTGAGAACTGAGAGAGGGACTTAGTGGTGAGATAAAAGCTTAGAGTTGTTGTATAGCTTCCTCCTAGTGTGGTGTATGTGAGTAGTGTGTAGAAAGACCTGAGCCAGAGACGGAAGAAACGATCCTTACAGAAGTACTTCAAAATTCACATACTACTTCCGTTCTTAAATAAATGCAACATGTTGAATATTACACTATTCACATGTTCTACTTTGGCTACGTTTTATTTATTAATATATTAGTATATTTTTATCAAAAAAATATTGTTAAATTTGTCTCAATGTAAATTTTCATAATCTATTTTTTTAAATTTTTTTACTAATACTGAATTATATGTATTAATGGTCAAAGTTGTGTCTCGACAAATGTGAAATGTTAACTGTTGCAATTATTCAAGAACACAAGAAGTATTTATTATAAATAATAATGCACGCTATACTAATGGTGAATGTGCAGTGTGCTGGCTATGGTATATCTCCTAAAAATGATAAGTGCCAGTACGGGTTAGTTGGCCCTTTTACCGTGTGAATAGTCTGGACGGAAGCTCAGATTTGCCGCAGACGAACTTAACGGCTCCCTCCGTTTGCTTCCTTCGTTTTCTTCCACGCGGTCTACTCCCCTCCTTTCATTCTTTATGGTCAGTGTACATCTAAATAAATCTCCTCTCCCGATAAAGCTAATGCGGAGGGTTTGAGGGGAAGCTCTGGCGATATTGGGGGAGTCCGGCAATCTCGTCGGCGTGGTAGAAGGGAACCAGGCTGATGAAGCTCCTGTAATCCACTTCGGGTCTCTCACGTTATCTCTACCATGGGGAGGCCAACAGTCTTTGAACCCTACATCTCAACCAAGATGCAATCTGCCACCAGTTTTCAACGGAAGTGTTTGCCAGATTCCGACTGCGACAATGAAGGCTCCATCACAGGTAACTGCCATCTGTGTGAAATGGATTAAAATAGAAGCCGTTAGCTACTGTCGATTGTTTAGCCCCGGTTGATTTTTAACATCCATTTAACATCACAGTGTGAAAAAATCTATTGTTTCTTTGTGATGGGAACACTGCTCCTGGAATAGAAGCCATTAGCTACTGTCGATTGTTTAGCCCCGATTGATTTTGTGCAAGTTGATTTAGCTGCCCAGGAAATATTTGCTCCAGTTGAAGGCGGGTGCATTACTGGTTTCAAAGCCAGATAGATTCGCACTGCCCCTGGACCAGGAATAATTACCTATTGTTCTGCTTTTGATGGCCCATTTGAAAAAGGCCATGTGGCTGTTGTTGCTCCGATTGATCTTGTTTCTGATGACACACAATCTGCTAATTGTGTTTCTGGTGTTGCAGCTCCTGTTAAGTCCTTGCCTGATGAGGCCTCGGTGTATGGCAGTCATATGAATTCAGATCCTGGCCCCGGAATTTATGCTTTTAAAGGGAAAGCCGGAAATGAAGAACCTCGTTCTGATCCTTCTTTTGAAACTGATAATGCATACACTACACTTATCCTCCCATGTCCAGTGATGATAATCCCAATCAATCTGAGGACACCCCCCTATTATTACTAACCTTGTTGTTTCAAGTCCACCAAATACACCAGAAGAGGAGCCCGATGGCTTCACTCAGGTGAAAACAAGAAGAAATAAATAAAGATGCCGGTTTAGGAGCCAGTAATGGCACATTGACCAATTGGGATACTACTGTAGGCTTAGATGAACCCCCGGTGACTACCTCTAACAAGGTAGTAACCATTGGTGGAGTTCATCCGCTTTTGATTCTCCTTAATGCTCACTTGATTGGTGCTACTATTGGTCGCAGAAAACACACAACATCTTCTGGAGATGATGAATTAAATTCTGATCCACCCAAAGTTGAAGCCGAAATTTGATACTACAGTTACCTCAAACTTGTCCTATGACGATGCTCCGTCTGAGGGCCTCTTTTTCCCATAATATTTCTATTGTTACAGGTATATCAGCAGCCAAGAAAGACTGCCCCGACAGATTTTTGAAATGTTGCAGGTACGAACATCCAAGCCTTTGAGGATTCATTGTTGAAAGCAGTGGCGTATCCACTATGGGGGCAGCGGGGGCAGCTGCCCCCACTCAATCCCAACCCAACCCCTATATATATGTCCAAACTTTTACAAGAAATTGCTCAAATTAAGAGTTAAATGTAGAAACAAAATCTAAAATAGGATTAGAAGTGTTTTCTTTAATACTAAAAGAATGAAATGCTAAAAAATTCACTAAATTTTGTTATGTTTAAGACTGTTTAACTTATATTTAGGTAAATTTATTACATTTTATCTGCAATTACATCTTTACACACCCGTAATATAAATTAATCTTCTTTTTATTCATACTTGTGCATAGATATTATAAACTAAATTTAATCAAACAATATTAATAATGTGATTTGTTATTTGTGAAATATGAGACTAAATTGTAGTCAAGTTTGCCCCCACTCGCTAAATTTTCTGGATACGCCACTGGTTGAAAGGAAATTTTTTAAAATGGAATCCGGTTAAGGTGATGAATTAAATGTGTGTTTCTTTGGTAGAAGATGTATTTGATAAGGTAATAAAGCTGATATACTCAATAAGTTAAGAACTATGTGTACTCTAATAATATGTTTTCTTAATGTCGTTTGTGCTTATGTGTGTTGATTTTGGACATTTCTATTATGTTGCAAGGTAGTTATTATGTTTCTTAGCAGCAGCTTCCTGCTCTCCTCCGATTCCTGCCCGCTCGCCTCCTATTCTGTAATGTCATTTGATTTGTTTTTTGTCAATACACTGCATTATTAAGGTGTGCATTATTAAGGTGGCACACATCAATCCTTTATTTTTTTTACAGTGAGTTCAATATTGGCATGTCCCTTTTATTGGAATTTGTCATTCTTATTGGTAATCCATAACCTAACAGATCATTAGTGTCCATTTCAATTAGCCACATTTGAATTAGCTAATAGATGATGTGTAGGTTTGACACTTTGACCGTTTGGGAATCTCTTAATACTCTTCTATTTTAAGTCACTTTGAAGTTTCATTTGTCTCTTAATTCATCTCATTATAAGACTCTTTTTACAAGATATAAAGAACCTATAATTGGACTTTTCTTAAGATATAAAACAAAGTTAGAAGAATCACATATATCAATCATTATACTACTCCGAATAAATTAGTTGATTGTGTACTTTTCTTTGCATACTCATATTCTTTGCATGGACTTTTCAAATTCCACTAAGCTAAACATTTGATTCCATTTCAAATAAATATGAAAATTAAGCATTGTAGAGTGAGCACTTCTTTGTTTTGATATTATCAATTTGGTGTTGTGGTTCTGTTTCAAAACATAGTACTCTTACATTGAAATTAGTCTTCTTTGTGGTTCTGTTTGAAAACATTTGAAGAATGACATTCCTCTAAATCTTTTTTTTTTTAATTTCATAAAATACTACGTCTATGTAGAATAAAACACTTTGAGTTGAGTGTCCATAAAGGTTGTGGTAACAACCAAGATCCATAAAAAATGAATAGAGCAACCTCGGTAATCATCACCTCTCTTCCTTATTAATTTCATTTTATTTTCATTATTATTATTGGTTTACGGTTTCGCTAATCTCAGCTGCCATAGGTACTACTTCTCATTTCTAATTTGTTTGCTTTTAGCACAACAGTTCGGTTACGTTGCTGTCTAATCTTATATTTGATCAACTTGTGAAATTGTGGTTTGTGCACACATGTGTAGTTTTCTTTCGTGATCAAATCATATGTGCCTGGTATGGAGAAGGGTTAACGCCTCTCAAGTCTCACCTTGATGTGGACAGCTGAGATTTCTTCTCTTTTGTTTGCTTTTCTTTCTATTTCATTTCCAGGATATGAACGAAATAGAAGTTTGGGGCTGGTTCTCATATGCAACGAAGTACTTCTTTATCCCTCAAGGTACGGTTGCTCTTCCTTGCTAACTAAAAAAACTGAAGCGCTATATATGTTTGTGAATTTGTCTCATTGAGTTGTTTGTTTGGTCAGGCTTCATCTCTTTTATTTTTTCCTTGTACCAATGAGGCCAATTTAAGAACGTGTTGATTAGCTAAATAACAACACTATATCTATTAGCCTTATAATTTATTTTGCTACTCTATGAGGCATTGTATGCTCAAATGCTTGTTTCATCTTGCTACTTTAAATTGGCATCCACCATTTCAAGCTTTTTCATTTTAACTGGTTGTTTGCTCGTTCTGTTTTAACACGTTTTTCCCATTTTTCGGCTTGTTTTCAAACGTTGGGCACGGATATCGCGCAACGCGCGCTCCCATGCTAGTATAGGTAATATGGGCTAGTTTATTTTAATTTCAAAATAAAAAACAACATTGCTTCGGTTCTCGTGCAAAATATCGTGTTATATTGCTATTATTTATACCTATCGAAGTTTCATGTTGTTTAGAGATAAATAAAGTTATTTATTTTATTAGGATAGTGAATAGTTCGTTGCGGTACGTTTTTCCATTCATGGAGTTGAATTTAGAGAAAATATAGTAAGGGTATACTCTCTATTATATTGTTGAGAGAAAACTGTCAATTTGATCCTCATACGATCACGAAAAAGTCAATTAGGTTCTCATACTTTTTAAACAATCAATCAAATCCCCGAACTTTGTAAAAATGTTCAATTGAGTTCGTTTGCAAGGTATTTGCCACATCAGCAGGTCAACCGCTAACGTGACACACACGTGGCAGCCACGTCACCAGTGACTTTGATGACATGGTGCACATGGGAAGTACAATCAGCCATTTGTTGATGATGTGACACACATATGGACTGCCACGTGTGCGCCACATTAGCAGGTGGTCGGTTGACATGACAAGTGACCATCAAATGGACTCAATTAATGCTCTGTTTGGATAAAGTGAACATAAATAAACCTAGTGCAATAAAGCAAACCTATTTTTTTATTATATAAAAACTAGGTTAACCTAAGAGAACCTAGGTTCATGCGTAAAATAGTGTTTGGAAATAAATAAGGTGAACCTAGGTTAATGTAATAAATGTTGTTTGGATGAATGTACTCTAGCTTATTTTATGTTGAACGGGGAACTTAACCTCCAAAACCCCCCACTTCAGAGGTTCTTCAATTTGAGGTGTTTCCAGGTTCTCGGGAGTTATGTGAGGTGAAGTCATAACCTAGACTCTTGTTACAAAAACACAAACAAATGAGGTTAACTAAAAATTGAACCTGCAATAACTTAGGTTAACTCCCAAACAAACAGGCCAAAAATATTTTTACAAAGTTCGGGGATTTGATTGATTTGTTTAAAAACACGAGAACCTAATTGACTTTTTATAGGACGACTTCCAGATTGACAGTTTTCCCTTGTTGAAAAGGTTTAAAAGGTAAGATGTAGATGGAAATTTAAGCATAAAAGAGAATATTAATGAACTCAAAAGCAAGAAATAGTAGAATAAAAAATTAATGTCAATGAACGAAGTATTCATTCAACGGAAATAGAGTATTATAATGTCATAATTATCTTTTCCTTTTAATTCATTCCAAAGTATCTTTACATTTTCTGTTGGAGAATTAATAATTTCATGGTTGATGTAGTTTAATTTTTAGTAATTATCCTGTATAGGACTAAAACTAAACTTAAATACACAAATAGGATTAAGAATGTTTTATTCTTAAACAGGACTAATTTAATTTTAATAAAAGAATAACTTCATTAGAACTTACTTTCCAAAATAGAAGTGAATGAGTCTTATTTTGAGAATAAATCATTGATAATCTTATTTATGAATTTTACCATTGTTTTAGTCCTATATAGCAATTTTTTTTTTAATTTTTTTATGAACAAATATACATCAAACATATAGTTTCAAAATGTAAGAGATGAACTATTGGCACATTTACAACTCATAGATTTTCAATATGATACTCATTCTGTTCATTTTACACAAGAGTATGTCCTTTTATTTGAACAAATATATGTGTATGAGATAGAGACTGAATATGAACTTTTATAATGGGAAAATGACGACCATCCTGATTTGGAAGAGTATTATTACCATTCAAACTTTGAATGCCCCAACATTTTTATTGCATATTTTCAACAATTTGTAACTTTTTTGTATGATGTATTTAAAATACAGAGTATGAATAATCAATAGCATGTTTTTACTTGAATTGTATTCAGTCTCATAACAGATTAGATCATATCCAATTTAAACATATCATAATGGATTATATTAGACTTAAACAGACCAGTCTTCGACAATTATAACAAACACATATACATCTAACAAACCAGATCAAATCAATTCAGATCAGACCAGACGTAAATAGACAAGATTAGAGCGGAGCATACCGTAAAATTTCAATTTAATTAAAAAGATGGGAAAACTGTCAAATAGGTCCTCGAACTTTCATAAAAAAGTCAATTAAGTCCTTCTATAGGAGACTCTCTCTGGATGTCGCGATTTGGGGCGGTTCCCGGTGGAATTTTTTGATGAAATTTTTTGAGCATCTTATTCATCAAGTCTAGTTTACACATTCCAAATTTCAGTTAAAAATTCAATTCGGAACGTATTCAAATTAATTCGAGAACGCAAAAATGCGCAGTTATCTTCACGAATTAATTTGAATGTGTTCCGGATTGAATTTTTAGTTGACATTTGGTAT